AAGGATGAGTATTTTTCTCCTAAATAATATAATTAGATATTATGCACTTAAAGACAATAATAGTGTTGTTTTTTTCTTATATTAAACATTATCTTACCTACCTGCTCCAGCTAAGGGGAGAATCACTTGATTTAAGAAATATTGATTTTTGCAGTATATGTCAGCTGTTCCGCAGGGGCACTGGCCATTGTTGGCTCCTGTCTAGAACCTCAAAAAGCTTACTGTAGTAGGCAAGCTTGTATCAGTTCACTCTTGAGCAGGGACTCTTTGCCCTCTGGGAAGAGGCTTCGCAGCGTCTGCTGCAGGTGCAGCAGATTCTGCAACAGCTTCTTCCCCACCGCCATCAGACTGCTGAACAGTTGAAAAAACTGTAAATCATGTCACAGACTCGGCATCATACTGATAACACCAAACCAAAATACTGTATATTTGCACCATAAACATGTTTACATTTGATCACTGCTGCACTTAAAGGGATGGAAATGGTTATATCACTGCTAAGCTGCTGCTCATTCACTATCTGAAAGCTGTTCAAAACAAAATTTCGTTTTGTATAATCTCTGTTTATAAACATTATCAGTAATGTCTAAGTCTAAAGTATTTCTTTCCAGTTTAATCTAACTTGAACAGTTTCTTTCTTATTCACTGAAATGTAATAGTATTTATTTTTCAGTGTGGTTTGAAGGCATGCTTTTATATTCTGCAGATTTTTGTAAATCTTTATAAAACTGCAGTGGTCAGATTCTCCTACATGCCATTCCCTTTGGACGCTGATCTGAGTGATGTGATGCTTCACTGTTCTGTTTAACCGTGCTTTTGCTGCCATCTAGCGGCTAAAACAGGAATGTCTGACACGCATTGAAAAGTAAAAAATGAGAACTGTATGTCTTCTTCCTCTGCGAAATAAAAGTAAAGTTTTGACTAAACAATTAAGGATAGATTAACCTCAGCAGCTGGAAGGTGAACAAAGTGTTTTAAGATGTTATTAACAGCTTCCAGGGCTGCTCAGTGGCACAGTGGGTAGCACTGCTTCCTTGCAGGAAGAAGGTTCCGGGTTTGATTCCTGGCCCGGGGTCTTTTTGCATGGAGTTTGCATGTTCTCCGGGAGCATGCATGGGTTCTCTCCGGGTACTCCAGCTTCCCCCTACAGTCCAAAAACATTACTGTTAGGTTAATTGGCTTTTCTAAATTCTCCTTAGGTGTGAGTGTGTGTGTGAATGATTGTTTGTCCTATTTGTCTCTGTGATGGTCTGGCAACCTGTCCAGGGTGTACCCTGCTTCTCGCCTACAGACAGCTGGAGATAGGCACCAGCATCCCTTGTGACCTCAATGAATGGATGGATTAATGCAGCTCTACATGTGTCTGATTCTATATGCTTTTTACCACTAGAGACTGAAGTTTCAGCCTATTTTTCTAATATCTCCAGATTAAATGGAGATTATCGGTGAACATTGAGGGAAAATTCCTGTGAAAATAATCACAATCAGATTTATGTTTTGGGTTAGACTCTGTAAATGGGGAATATATAGGCTTCAAAATTTCATTTTGTACAGCTCTCATGACAGTTCCATTCCATGAGGTGAAGCAGTGATCAAATGTAAACAATTTGGGAGAAATAAAAGCATGGTGCCAAAAAAATGCATTGATATGGAAGTTCAGAGCATTAAATATGTATGGTGAAAGTCTGTGACAGGATTTAGGGTGTTTTCAAAAGTTCAGCAGTGGGGAAAATGCTGTTTCAGAATCTGCTGAACCTGCATTGGTTGCTTCGAAGCCCCTTCCCAGAGGGCAGCAGGGAGAACAGTCCATGGTGGGGGTGTGAGGGGTCATTTATGATGTTACAGGCTCAGCACATACAGCGCTGGGATGAAATGTCTTTTTATGGAGGGAAGAGGAGCCCCGATGATCCTCTCTGCTGTTCTAATCACTCTCCTCACCTTCTTCCAGTCTGAGGCGCTGCAGCCGACCCTATAGAACAGGTGTGGCCTGTAACAGGTTTATTTCTTTCAATCAGAGTCAACAGGTTTATAAAATTAAGCTCATCTATTAATTTTTTCTCTCACCTTATTCTTAACTAAAGTGTCTCCCTGCTCTGTCTAATATTTTTTAAAGCATGCGACATATCTGTGCAGTGCTTACTTTATCTGAGAGGTGTGTTTATTTTTTTTATTTGTTGTACAGTCTACTACATTAACCTTGAATTTTACGGCGCTAGTGGCTCACTTTTCTGACAGCAGGCTGACAGGAAAGGGGGAATGAGAGAGGGGGAGAGACATGCGGCAAAGGACCACAGGTCGAATTCAAAACCTGGTCGGCCGCGTCAAGGACTAAGGCCTCCATACATGGGTTGTGCGCACTAACCACTGCATCTCCTGCACACATCTTTGTTCTGATCATGTTTTTCTCACTTGTCTTTTCATGAATTCCCGCATTGTGAGACAACAAAGGATATTTATATTTTACATGAGGGTTAAAACATTATCTCAAATCCTAGCATGTTTATATTTTTATTGGTGTTGCACCGATGATATTTTTGGGCCCGATACCTGGCTGTGCAGTATCAGTAGATACCGACACCATACTGATACCCTCTGTTTGAAATTGATGTGTGTGTGTGTGTATAAATGAAGAACTGCATACTACTTGGATGTAAAATAATTGCCATCATGGCTTCGTCAAGCTGCTGCCTACCTTTGTGAAGCAGGAAGAAGACTAATACAAAGTGAATCCAGCAGAACTTTTTATTGCCTACCTGGAATGGGTGACATTCCAGGTAGGCATCTCAAAATGGTATCGGTGCCCTATTTGTTGGTACTGGCCGATACCATACCACCATTTTAGTGCTGGATCGGGGCCTCGCCAGATACTGGTATCCATATCGGTGCAACACTAATTTGTATTTTCCTTTGTCTGTTATTTTCAAATGTTTAATTCTCTGCAATAAATGTATCAACAGGTGGAGCTTATAAACTAACTATGTTAATCCTGGAGCCAATTGATTGCCCTGTATTTTATTTATATGCACTGAAGTAAAGAATTAATCCAACTTCATGCAAAAATTAAAGTTTTCTCATGAGCATTGCTGTGTTTTATACCCACATTAAGAGCGCTATTCATGCTGTAGCCTGGCACTGTCAGTATGTTCTATAAGTTGTGTCATCCTGCGTTGACACATTGACCCTTTTTTAAGCTGAAACATTTCCTGACAGGAAACTACTCAGTTTGTGCAACACGTCAGTAACAGGGTGGATTTGATGAAGCCTTCAGTTTTCTCCTTAAAATCCTACTATGTGGGGCATTACAGCTGTAGATTGTTGCACATAGAGACTGAGTCAGCGCTGCCAGTGTAGAACAAACCCAGTTCTAGGGAAGAAAACCAGCAACAAACCAGTCAGTGTGAAATGTTACAGTGAGATTTTTATGTGGAAGATATTTGTCTGTTTGTCTCAAAAATCTGTGAAAGACCAACTGTGCCTGCAAAGGGATTCTGTTCTCTATTCATTGCTTGTTTTAAATGATCTAAACTCTATTTTTTCATGCCATGTCTGCAATAAGCTTTTCTAAGAGTATTTTTTATCAACTGTGTTAATATGAATATATTACTGATACAAAAATGAATCTGACGAATCCCTTAAAGAAACAAATCAATCCTGTCTGTTTGTTTTTGAGTTGCTATAAACGTGTTCCAGAGACAAAATAGGCAAGAAAGAAACCTATAACCTACTGCGGACCTGATTCATGTCCGTTTCCAGAAAACAGGAGCTGGTTTTGCATTCGTTAAAACCTTTGATGATTTGAATTAAAATGCGTCTTTTAGTTTTTCTTGGACTTGTGTCTGAAAGCTCCATTGCATAAGCAGAGAAAAGGTGTCAACATTTTTAGAAGAAGTAAAGAAAAAGGAAGTTTCACCACTGTTGGGACGTCACCTGAAAGCCCCTTTGTCTTTCAAGTATTTGGAGGGGGGGGGGGTCGTAAAATGAGTCAAACGTGATCCATTCGTTAAAACATTTGGAGAAATAGCCAATTCAATTTTTTTTTCTTCATTGACACAATTAAAGATTTCTGATTTCAATTTTAAACTCATAAGAGTTTAATGTCAGAAAAGTATATGAAAAGGTATTTATTATAGACAGACATCAATTCCTATTTGAAGAAGTAATCCCCTCCTTAAACCTGGGCAGGATCAAGTGTTTGTGATAGTCAGCAATGGGGGCCTGATATTACTGTGGGTGAATTTCTGCTTTACAGAAATGTTGTAATTCAGCCATTAGACCAGGGGTCTTCCACGTTTTCCAGGCCAAGGATACACATAATGATGGTGAGATGGAGCGGGAACCCCCTAATTATATATATCGTATGTAATTGTGTTATATTAAACTGGTCCTATAGTCACTTTAATACAGATAAAGTAATGGGATTATTAAAGTATTTCTGATTCTGATTCCTGGTTGATGGGTCAGCTGTTGTGAATGAAACGGTGCCCAGCTTGAAAGAGCTCCTGTGTGTCGCTGAATGTGAGCATTGATGACTGAAAGACATCTTCTGCCTCCATTTATCTGTTTACTACAGTGTGTTGAATTCATGTTAATGTGGATTTAAAGACATTTCAATTAGTGGAAAAAATTGCAGGGGGGAATATAAAAAAAACCCTCCAATCATCCAAAACTTTCACGACCCCCATGCAGTACCTCCAGCCTCAGCAGCCCAAACATCTTACTCAGACTTTAACTAAGCCCCTCAAAAACCTTCATTTGGTTCTTTTTTCTTGTTGTCATTCAAAGGTGGATTCATTGGAGTTTGTTGTTGGGTGTTGTCACCAAAATAGAATAAAATACACCAACAAACACCTACTCAACGTGTGTTGAGCAACTTTTCCCTAATAGTTTCAACATTATGTGAAACTCACTATAAAATTCACCCCCCTCGAACATTTCCGCTGTGTTCAGAAGACAGGAAGCAGATTTAGTCTGTTGATTAAAGAGCATGAGGCTCACTGTCAAACAGCAGGAACAAGTGGAAGTCGCCACATTCGTGACCTGATATTTAAACGTGTCTTCAACCTTACAGCCATGAGCAAAAGAAAAAAGGGTAAGGGCTCAATTTTTGCTTTTATTTTATCTTATTTTGCTGGGAAGCTTTGAAAAAAAAAAGTCCTGTCATCATTGAAATTCAGTTTTTTGTCACTCAATAAAGTTCTGCTTCACTCACAATGAAGTTTAGAAAATGAAAGAGGAAAATAAGACTAATAAGATTAATAAGACCTTTTTGAAACATTCTGTGTTAAGAAATAATTACTATATAATAATTAATAATCAAATCCCTGAGGAAAATACAACTTAAAACAAATACATAAAAGAATATAGACTGTAGCGCTAATTATATACTTAAAAGCCTAAATAATCAATTGATAAATCCTCATGGTTGATATCCAAGGCACATCTGCCACACCTAAGGACTAAAATAAGATATGATCCACTTTTTTTGTAACTCTACCTCCTTATGTCCTTTACATGCTTACATCTCCCTTAGCATTACAAATGATAATGATTCCTTGCAGGTAAGAAGCTATTAGCTGGGGTTAAAGTTACCAATACAGATTAAAAGATCTTTCAGATAGAGCCATATTTATTTCCAGTTAAATACAGTGAAAATTAAGGTTATTATTGCATGACTTTTGGTGGCCTTTGCGGTATTAGTTGGGTTATACAAGCAGAACAATATAGACATTGTTATCTTTTGAACTTTCATATCATCCTGCTCTTTAAAATGGTTTTCTGGGATTTAACGTCAACTATTTGTTAAGTCATTGCTAAACGGTGGTGGTTCAATCCCCGCTGGTTGATCTTTCAGGATTATACACTAACAGGTACATTTTTAATTAATTAAATATTAAAAACTGTCTCCCTAAATATTTATTTTATTGGTTATCTGGAATAAAGTAGATATAATTCAGTAAAAATAAAATTAGCCTCTGGAAGTTGCAGAGAAAGTACCACCTACTGTACACACTTGGGTATTTCACTTTTATATAGAGTGGTGATATAAAACCTCAATGTTTTACCACTTATGTTATGAGTCAAAAGTTTTTTCAAATAAGCCTTGAATAATCAATTAAGTTTAAGTTCCCTTTTTAACAGATACTGAAACTTCCGATGAATCTGCAAAAAACAGATTGCACTGTTTTGACTTCAACATTTCTTAAAATGATCCATCTGATTAAAAACGCTGAAAGCTGGAGAGACGATGCTGATGTGAGCGTTGTGTAAGCTCCTGGCAACATGTGATGAATTGACACTTGTCTGGGTGGATCTTCATTTTCTTTGTCCACTGTTCCACTAACAAACCTCTTCTCGGACCAATGTAAAAGAAACACAGGGTCCTCTTTGTGCGGCCAGAAAGGACGGGGCCTCGGCTGAGCAGAGAGGGGACAGTACATGTCTGCAGGAAGGGACAACACCTCCCTGTGTCTTTCTCTTTCCAATCATAAGCTGAATTATAGTCATGTTGCAGCTGTAAATTGTTTATCTTGGCTGTTATCCACATCACCTTACTAATTGGAGCTGAAATTAAGTTTGAGGGTCTTTAGAGATTTAATCTTGCCGTTAAATCAACCATTTACCTTCAGTATCAGGCTGTTTGTGCAAAGAAATATTTTTATGGTAGCTTAAGTTAAATCAGTTTTCTTTAACTCAGATCCTAAGGTTCCACTATCCTGTGGCATTTAGATTTGTTCATTGTCCTTCATACCTGGATCTAGTTTCTAAAACTAACTCAAAAACAGTAATTCAGGTAACAGCGTCATATTGAAGTCAGAGGCTTCTAAATGTTGCAGGATACATTTCTTCAAGGACTAGAGTTTGAGACCGATGAGTTAGATGGTCCAACCTTGAACCAAGAATGCATCTTACTTTGCTTATCCATCAGAAATGAATGATGCCTACTGTATGACTCCAGCAATCTATGGGTGAGAGGTGGGGTACTCCATGGATAGGGCCAATCTATTACAGAGCAACATAGAAACTCAAAACCTGCACACACACCTCAAATGGCCACTTAGGGAATTTATTTCACAGTCATGTTTTTGGACTGTGTGAGGAAGCTGGAGTACCCAGGGGAGAACCCATGTATGCACACAGAGAGCATGCAAAAATACCCTAAGTCAGGAATCAAACTCAATTCAATTAAGTTCAGTTTATTTATATAGCGCCAATTCACAACACATGTCATCTTAAGGCACTTTACAGTTCATCAGATCGTACAGTTATATTGCTTTAAAGTTTTCTATCTAAGGAAAACCAGTTGATTGCATCAACTTATTGACTTTAAGGCAGTCCCTCACACTAAGCATGCTTGTAGCGATAGTGGAGAGGAAAAACTCCCTTTTAACAGGAAGAAACCTCCAGCAGAACCAGGCTGAGTGTGAGCTGCCAAATTACCAAGGCGGACTGTGGTTCAAAGAGACAGAAGCAGACATATAAAATGAAGCAGAGATTCAAAAAGGACCAGCTCCATAGGCGGAACCGTCCAGGAAACACACTGCCAGGCAGACAAGCTCCAAGCCAGCTCCCATGTCAGAGGTGCTGACAAGAGAGCACATCAGCCAGTAACAGTCAGAGAAACAGGACTACTCTGAAAAACAGGCCGATCTTGAACAACGAAGGTGTTGATGGCAGCAGCACAGCAGATATTTCTCTCCAGGATGGAGTCACAGCCAAACAGGAACAGATGAGGCGAAGCTACTACTGTATGAGAAAAAGCAGACAGAGCAAATTGTTAGACATTAAACAAATTGATTCTGCAGAGTGGGAAAATAGAGATAGAATGATGAAAAAAAATGGGTCCCTAAGTCCTCCAGCAGTCTAAGCCTATAGCAGCATAACTATAGAGATAGCTCAGGATATTCAAACTTGGGCCCTTTTTTGCTGCAAGGCATCAGGGCTGCAAACTGCTACACCATGTAGCCCCCTTTGACACAGATATAACAGTATGTTGTTAGCCATTAATGAACAAAGCTGACAGTGGAAAAGTATGTGCTCCAAAAACTACTTAAAGTATAAAGTAACCTTTAACAAAAACAGCTAGATGCCACTATATGAATTTTAAAGCTCAATTTTTCAAATATTTCATCTGGGTCTTTTCTGATTCCTAAAAAAGATAAAACTTACCATAAATGAACTAAAGGCTGATTTATCTCTCAGCTCCTGAGTTTTTTTTTTTTATAAGGTTCTTAAAGTCCTAACTGTCAGATGCAGTATTGTGGTTATCAGGCCTGATTTTTTTATTTCATGCTCTAATATGTCCTCTTTCATAATCATTAGGCATGTTTTTAAATGGACACAGGTATTTGTAATAAAGAAAATAACAATAAAATGTATCATATAATGTGCTATGAGGGGTGAGTGACGCTAATCCTTGATCCAAACTGAGTTATCTGATGTTTTAATGGGGGAACAGCATCAGCAAGAGTCATTGAACCATCAGCTTCAAATTGATAAGCAGTAACGCCTCAGCTGCTTTCAGAACATGTCGCTATTCTGGGTGCTCAAAAAACCCAGAACCAAAACACTTATTAGTTCTCTTTTTTTGTTGTTTTCTTTTTCCTTTTTAAAACTCAAACCTATTTGCTGTTATTTAAGGGAAATTTGAAAACCTGCACGTCAAAGTTCTTCTATTCTAAATTAAGATGGTGTAAATAAACATGCAGCGTAAATAGTAGATTTGTTTGCACATATATATCATGCATTTGCATTGTTAATATTTAACATTGAATGCCCATGAAGAACATAGCGCATGTTCCCAAAGCATTGTTGAACCTTGAATTCAGGAGGAATAATGTTTTCAACCTGAAACAGAGAATCAGATATTTTACTTTCACAGAACCGCTGGGGAAGTCATCTATTTATGGACGAATTTAACAAAAATTTATTAAATAAAAAACAAAACAAATTATCTCATGCTTAACACATGTTTTTTTTTTTTATTGAAAGTTAATATATTTTCCTTTTGATTAGTAAAAATTAAGGCAACATGTTAAAATATGGTGTTTTGTCGCATAGATATGTGTGTTTTTGATTTGATAAGTTGAAATATCTGCCTTTCCAAACACATCGGAGAGCTGTATTTATTCTTTTCTTGTTTATTTACTAAATGAAAACAATGCAAATGCATTCAATCATCCAAACAGAGTGAGTAAATGTTATATAACTGCATTACAGGCGATAAGTTCCTTCCACCCATTTAAGGGATTGAGAAACATAAGTACATTCCCCAGCAGTAAAATCAGGGATTGTTAATAGTTCTGAACAATTTTATGATGACTCATTATTTTTATAAGGTAACCAATTCAAGCTCTGTTCAGATAACACTTCCCAGCTTTCCATTTCACCGTCACACCTTTCCAAACACATCAGTGTTTCAGAGGAAAACACTTCTGCTGAACGTAACTTAGTCCATCGCTTTTCAGACATGTCGTATTTAAACCAATGGAGCAGCAAAGCAAAGCAAAGCTGCTGTTATGAATTAATAAAGCGTGTTTCTGTAGTGACGTCTGATACCAGAAAAGAGCTGATAAATATCTGGCAGTGTGTTCAGAGCCTAAACTGGTTCTGTTGAAAGTTTTTTTTTCCTGGATAAACAATCCTCAGATGTTTTTTTTCTTACAACATAAGATCAAAAATACTGGAGGTTAATGATCTGGATCCAGTTAAAACTTTTTGAATCACCTGACTCTAACTGACCTTAGCAGTGGACCAACAGAAAAGCTGGTTCAGGGAAAGTAAAATAGAGGAAATGTCAACATATCAGGGCCATGTCATCTTTACATTCATGATAAATTAGTAGTTCATTTCCTCTCTGTGAACACCATTGTTACATTAAAATGTTAATTGTGTATTAAATGTTTTTTTCTTAGATTGCTGCACATCGATCCTCCATTTTTAAAGAGAATCATGCGGAAGTTTGACAGGAAACAGACTGAAGGTCTGGAGTTATATGAGGTTTTAAAGTCTTTAAGATGTTAAAGGTTTGTTGAACAGCAGAAGGTTATCTGACTCAATCAGTCCTTGGCTGCTGCTCTCCGAATGGGAGCGAAATGTTTAGAAACTACGACTTATTTAGCAAAAAAGGCAAGGTTTCCTCACCAACTATCACCTTTTGAGCAAACCTATCTTATATTATCCAAATAAATCAAACTATGTTAAAAAACATTAAAATCTGACATTATAGAATTCCTTTAAAGATGCTCTTCAGGATCATTTATGGTTTTAGATCCAGTTTCTTTTCTGAAAATAGTCTGCTTAGTGTAAAATGAGGAAGTGAAGGCCTCGCCCATGGATCCAAAGAGAACATCTGGCTTTTAGTCACTGGTAATGATCATTATAGTTTATTCCCTAAACTAACCCTAAAGCAACTTAAAATTTATTGGGCTTTGGTTTGTTTTTACATTGATTTTACTTATTTATTCATCAGAGTGAATAGAAAAACATGTCAGAAGTGAAATCTCACAGTGACCTTTATACATGTTAACAAGCCTGTGTTTAAACGGTAACTAGGCTAAATTTATATAACAGTAACACAAAGACCTTCATACGCTGATACAGACATCTTAGGGTTAGGTACCTTGATTAAGAACACATTTAGGGGTTAGGAGCAATCTGGAATCAAATCGACCATAATAATAATGTTAATAAAGAGATAGATTCTATAAAGTATAACACTTACATAAATAGTAATGTCAACAAGCTGCAGAGGTAAAAATACTAATACTCAACTTTTTATAAAATAATTAAGCCGAACTTACTTCATTATTTTGCCCTGACTGTAGAGTGTGTGTGTGTGTGTGGGGGGGGAGTTATATCCTGAAATTAATAAATCATCACATTTATGTTTTTATCTAAAACATGACTCAAAAATACGGTTTGAAAGGAACATTGGAACAATTAAAAGCATCATTGATTAAATACAAATTTTAATTGATGAATGCAATGGTAGAAAATGATTTAAAGAATACATCTATTTAAAAATGAACATGATCACTGGACTATTTGTCTAGCAAAATATAGTGATGTCTTTAAAAGTGAACTTGGGTCACTAGTCTGTTGCGTCTTAATTTTTGGGTAACAGGCTGAAATGTTTTGGTGTAAATTTCATGTATTAATTCCAATTAATTACTTTGTTAAGCTTACTTATCAGACCTTAAAGTCAATGTCTACCTCTGTTTTATTTTACTTTCATCATCATTATGATTGTTTCTTAGATAATATTTGGTTTGAACTGCCTTGTGCTTTGTATAAAGCATCTTATTCACTAGTCCATGAAAACTTCTCCATAACTAAAGGCTGAGATATTTAACTGAACATTTTTGGCCAATATATAAAGTTTTCCATGCAGTTTCCTTCCTAAAAGCTAAGGTTTAATGACCATAAAAAGTGAAAGAATGAGCCTCTGGTGTGTGACAGCAGAGAAATGTTCATAAAAAGGATGTTCCTTTGAAGCCTAATGAGCTGCGTCCTCCTCTGCAGGTTTTAAATGGTTCGGGAGCCTCACCAACCTCTCCTCCCGCCGCTCATCAGAGAAGAGCAACAACAAAGCAGCTTCTCAGCTGAACAAGAGTCTCTGTGGAGCCAAAGAAGCAGCAGCAGCAGTGGAGGAAGAGAAGCAGTCAGTCGACGACATGGATTCGGGTCTCCGCAACTCCAGTTATGCCCGCTCCAGCGACATGTACACCCATGTTGGGACTGTTCCCCGCAGCGAGAAGAAGAGTAGCTTTAAGGGCCTGAAGGCTGCAGTGGGCAAAGAGGAGATGAGTTTGAAGGCAGAGGAACATGTTCGAGACTCCCCCCTCCTTAGTGCTCTGTCCACACTGAGCTTGAACAGCACGGAGAAGCCTCAGCCCGTTTTGGCTCGGCCGCTTCCCGCTACACCCTGCAGAGCCTCACCTTTGACCTCAGCACCTGCCAGCTGCCTCACTGATCTGTCAGATGAGCGGGTTAAACCGTGCAAGGCGAAAAGGGGCGAACATGCAACAGAGGATTTAAACATGGTTATAAAGCAGGACGTTTATGTTCCAATGGACCCAATTTCTGACCCAAAAGCTGAGAAGCAGGAAACCACTGAGACTTTGAAGAATGAGGAGCCAGACAGCAGGTGAGAGACATATTAACAGTACTTACAGTGAACAAAAAAGGCTACACACAGCCTATATCTATCTGCAAAGAGAAATTTTAATATAAATCAGCTGGTTCATAAGCAGAAACAGGTATCTGCTAAAAATGACAGACAAGTTAGTTTTGCACAATGAGAACTTAAAATACACAAAATGCAAAAATTCTGTTTTTTTATGTTCAAAGGCTTAATTTTGACTTTAAGGACTTTAGAATTTATATTGTAGATGCGACCATTCATCAGAAAGCCAATGTCTCAATGAAACTTTCAATATTGTTAAGAAAACGACATGACAGCAACTGTAATTGGTTCATTATTCCCTATTCACTATTTCATCAGGGGGTGGCACTGGGCGTATTTTAGGGTTGTTATCCAGAAGAAATGGCCAGTGACAGTGGTTGGGTATCAGATTTTAGCTTCTGATTAATTAACGCTTCAGTGTATAATAAGTACAGAGCTTTACTGACAGAAATGTAATATATTAAGAATAAGTATGCTATTTATTATCATCAAAATGTCAGGAATAGCATTGAGTTTGAGGCTCTTATACAGTAGCCCAACAAAGGCTGCATCAAATTGCAAAAACATGCAAATTGAACTGGACAAACAGACCCCATTGGAATGGTGGTTGTTTGGCTTCTTTTGTTAGCCTGTAATGCCCCATACCTGTATATCAGTGGTGTCAAGTAACCAAGTACCAATACTTTATTACTGTACTTAAGTACACTTTTTAGGCATCTATACTTTACTCCATTACTT